CCCTACGGCCCACCTCGCCACCAGCCCTGTCGGCCTGTTCCCTCCTCGCCTGCAAGCGATGCCCTGCCCACCCCTCCGTGCTGTGCACTCGACGGTGAGCCGCAAGTCTCCGCGGTCGCGGCGGTTTTTGACGCGGGACGGGAGCGGCGCACGGTAGCCACGGTAGCCGGGTAGCCGCCGTCACCGCACCCGCGCCAGCTCGCCACGACCCGTTCCGCCGCCAGTGCCATAACTTGCATCAGGAGGAGGCGCTGAAGGTCGCGGTCGAGTCGAGTCGAGCCCCCGCCGGAGCCGGAACCGGACCGGCCAACCGGACCACACCACCGCGGACCAGCCTCGTGGTGCATCGTCCAGTACAGTGCCCCCCCCCCCCCACCACTCTCCTCTCCCCGTGTTCCATGTCTCCCTCCCTCCGCACAAGCCCTGCTCAGGCACACGCTGCTGGACGTGGCCGAGAGCACGCCCACAGCACTCGTGGCTCTCCGCTCCGCGCCTCGCTGCAGACCCGGCGAGCGGGCGTGTCGAATGGGTTGCCTCCCGCCAACGACCAGGCGCTCCCCGGGCTGCTGGGCTGGGCTGGCTCGAGCGTTTCGTGTGAAGGGGGTATGGGTCAGTCCCCCCCACCCTCCCATCCCCGCGAATTCTTCCAAAGTAAACTGGCCTCAATGGGGAATTTGTGATACATACACGCAGAACGCTCCAGCCCAGCTAAGACTTCTAAGCCGCGCCTTATTCCGGCCGTACAGCTCCTCCCGGTTATATACTGTACCGCATGCAGGCGTGCAAACGGGTTGCATACTCGCAAGGGGTCCGAAAGGCACCCCGTGGTAGTCGCATCTGTCCTAAAACACCAGACCGCACCAGACACAGTTCTTTCTCATGGTTCTTCACACCGAACCTCTCCTCTATACATGTCGCTCGGCTGACTCACGGTGACGACGGCAATCATCGCGGCGAGGTGCGAAGGAAGGGTTTGGGTGCCGTGACCCCGCCGCACCTGCTGTGGAACGGCACAACATCCTCCTCCTCGCCGCGCGTGTCGCGAGCGTGTCCGCTCAAACGTAACAGCGTCACCGCGGGCCGGGCGGGGCGAGGGCGGCGTGCGACGCCAAGCAAACAATGGATTTCCACGGGTACGGCCAGGGTGGGGCTGGGCGGGGCGGGGCGGGGCGGGGCTGGTACTTCTTCCGGCGTAAGGACACACGGATCTGTCCGCGGTCGACAAACGCTCCAAGCAGGTGCGGAGGAGGACACCGCTGTCCGACTGTCCGAGATATAGTTGGGCACTGGACGACAGCAGCCTTCAGAAAGGCAACCCCCCCAACCACGACAAAAGGGAAAAGGGGTCCAACGTCGTATTATATGATTTCGTACGTCGCCGAACTTTGGAGAACATCGAAGAACCTTGGCGTCGTACATACTTTAATGAAGTTGAAGTTCGATTCAGGTTCACGCTTTACGAAGACAAATTTCGATGAGCTTTAACCGACCTCGCCTGGCACTTTTTGACTTGTGTAAATAGATTTTTAAGATCTTGTGCGCCAGGTAAAATTCCACGAGGTGGACTTTGGCCAAGGGACTCTCTCTCTCTTTCTCACCTGACTAGTTCAAGGGTGCCAGTCCCTCTCGGGCGGCACGGGTATGCTGTCGCGGGCCTGCTGCTGCCGCCGGCGCTCCTCCATGCGGCCGTCCTCGCCCAGGCCGGAGCGCTCCACGAGCGCGTAGCCCCGGTAGCCGTGCAGCTGCTCGAACTCGGCGCGCCGCCGCAGCCCGACGTGCGGGTCGAAGGGCCAGGTCTGCTTGGTGTGCGTCACGGGCGCGCCCGCCACGTTGTCCCGCAGCAGCGTGTAGATGAGGCCGCGCGGTGCCGGCGAGGCGGCCGTCGGGGCGCTGCATGACCACGCCAGGACCTGCGGGGCATACGAGGACAGGGCGTCAGGTTAGGGGCGACGGGTACATCACACAATCAAGTTTACATCCTCCAAAAGGGGACAGGGAAAACTCAGAGAAAAATCAAGAAAAAACAACAAAAACATAATCAAGGAAAAAACTCCAAATACAAAAGAAAGTACCACGAAAAAAAAAACAACACACAACATTTCGTAAACTTGGCCTGTAATTGTGCTCGTCACACCCAGCGAGCGCATTTCACCCATTTCATGAGCGGGCTGCGAAAGACGCCGCATCTCCTTCTCTCTCTTTCACTCAACGTATCTAACTATCAATCTCATTTCTCGCCTATTCAGGCCAGCCACATTCCGCGCAAGCTCATACGGAGCAGGTCTATGCCCCCCTCCCCCCATCTCTTTCTCTCTTTCTTTTTCTCGCACTTACACATACGCGGTGAGTTGCAAAGAGCACCACCGCCTCACCGCCTGCCTGCCGGACGCTCGCGGCACTAATCGCGATCAGCCTCATTTACGTGAAGATTAAGGTCGCGCAGACAAGTTCATCCCCGCAAGACTCGCATCATAACGAGAAGGGGGCAGCCCGGGCTGCACGAGGCAGCTCGGCGCCAGCTTTGCTCAATCGATAATGCACCACACAAGTTGCGGCAGCAGCTGCAGGTGGGGCTGGCTGCAGGCCGCACGGTGCTGCAGGTGCAGGACGGACCCCCGTGCGTTTAGTTTGCAACACAGGCAAGGCAGGGTGTATTGGGGGGGAGGGGGGCGGTTAGTGGCCCATAGGTCACCAAACTTGAACGAGGCGTCAAGGAAGGTAAACTTGTCACTTCGACGTCGGTAATGTATGCGCCAAGCGTCGGGCTACACGCGCCACGCCTCGCTCCACCCCGCCCCGCCACGCCACGCTGAACTGGGATTCGCAACAACCATCTGGCAGGGAATCGGGCACAGTGACTGCCTGCAATATGATGACGCGTCTGCGCAGGTTTTGAAAACTAGTGAAAAACAGCAAATATTGATATGTGTTTACTAGCAAAAACAAGTTCAATATGCTCCATGAGTCTCAATCCCGCGAATGTAGACATAATGTACCGGCGCGTGTTCGTTTGCATGCGCTCCAGTGTTGCGGGATGGCGTACTCACAGGGGCCCTGGCGGCTTTCCGGCGAGATTTCTGCACTTCTGGGCGTTTCTCCAAGAGTAGGACACTTTAAAGAAGTAATATATATGCATGCGTGCGGGCTGTAGCATTGACCCGGTCTGCGGGCCCGCGGCGGCCTTGGGCGGAGCGCGCGATGCGTGGGCGCGAGTGTGACCGACCGCACTCGAGAGCTGTTTGGATAGACAGAGACAGAGAGAGAGAGGGGGGGAAGGTAAATCCGCAGCAGAAGCAGAGCCCCGCGTGGATGAGCGAATGATAGAAAGCAGAAGGGGGAGGGGGAGGTGGCGCGAGCGGGCTAAACCGGGCCGGACCACAACACAGGAGTGATGCAACGCCGCGCACCTTGCTCTGCAGGCTCTGCAGGCTCTGCAGGATGGAGGAGGTAAACAAACAAACACGCGCCCTCCGGTCCCGAGTTCAATACCCGGCCGAGTGTGGAGTACAGTACAGCGAGTCGACTATCTCGATTATTGCAAATAAGACGCGAGAAAACGGGTTGCGTCCTCATGGGATGACAATGACGATCACAATATACTTCGGTAACTTAAAACTACATGGTGTCATAATATGTTAGAAAAACTCGCATGGGTCGTCGTTTGCCTTTAGCAAAGACGCCTGCAAGGCATTTTGTCAGCTCCACACATTAGCATCATGAATAGGACCCATGAAGGCAAGCCGGCCGGCTTCGGCGTCCCCATGGCATTGTTCGCCCATGAAGGAC